TAGTTATGAACAAAAGTAGTTACTGTTAAAGAAAAAGTTTCACAGAATTTAAAGGCCTTTTCGCAAGATTAAAAAAAATTGGAATTTAGGTATGATGTGAAACGAGATACCGACAGTCACTACTAGAATTTGAACTCGGAGTAAAAAATGATTAAGGTAAGAATTGTGGCGGCTTTCAAGCCATGAACAACGGTGTACGGCTCATTAAAATCGGACTTAAAATGGCGACGTAGTGTCAAAAAAAGTAAATAGCCCATCGGGGGGGCGTGGCAAAAAAAAAAAATTTTTTTTGGGATCGCCTTCAAAATATCTTTAATCCTAGGGGTGGACTGGAAAAACTTTTTTTTTTTATGGGGACCGATCCGCACTAATGTACATACATATATACATATATATGTATAGGAAATTTGCGTTTTGAGATCTGCTTTTATTTCAGTCTTCTCGAATAATTTGCGTATAAAGCATACTTCGGTGCTAAGTGTTAGTGATTGTTTTGAGTTGGGGATTGTCACGCGTGTTCGTCTTCTATATATCCAAGTGCGCATAGTAGCTCGAAAAAATTGACGAAACACATTTTCATAAACAACAAAAAAAAAATTCTGTGAAAGTAAAAGTTTATACACTTGCCAATTTGCACATTAGAAATCAAGTGAAAAATACTTGCAAGATTTGTGATAGGTAAATAATGTGTGTGTCCATTATGTTTTGTATATGTATGTATGCATTTTTTTAGTTTGGGATACTAAAAAGTTGCAGACGTTCATTAAAAGTGTATTAACTCGCAAATTTGTGATTCTTGATATGAAGTGTTAAAAATGTTCACAGTACATAACTCCAAATGTCGAACATAGAGAAAAAGCTGTAGCAATGTTCTACTGTTATTTTCAGCAGCAGCAAAGTTTTTCTTTATCATGCGATAGACACTTGTTTTTTGTGTTCCTCGACAACATACATTTCGGAGTTGATACATTTTTGAAGAATGTATGCAAAATGTTCATGTCTCATATTTTGCGAAATCGCCTCAGATTTTTTAATAATCAATCGCTTTATGACACTTCTAATAAGTGTTGAAAAAATTTTATATTCAGGGAAAGTAGGTAAACGCTTTTTCTGAATTGTTTTTCGTCTATAAAAGTTTATAAGTCAAAAGGTGGAAACTCTTTACTCGAGCGTGTTTTAAAAATTAAACTATGAAAAAAAATATTCGATTGAAAATAGACACAAATCGAACGCAGCAACCATGCAAACAAATTGATGTGCCAGCAAGCAAAAAGGCAACATATGAACACGAATACAAAGATGAACACGATGTCGAAGACGAATACGAATCGAAGGCGAATTTAAAGTCAAAGACAAATACGAAGTCAAATTCAAAGATTAAAGCGATGTTAAGACGAATACGAAGTCGAATGCGAAGACAAATGCTGAAACGGATACGAAGTCAAAGACGAATACAAGGTTAAATACGAATACGAAAGTGACTACGAAGATGCATATGAACACGAGAACGTATATATACGGATACGAAGACGTAAACAAAAACAAACATGAAGACAGGAAATTAAAACAAATACGAAGGCCAAGGCTAGGACTATATAGTACGAAGATTAAGACTAAGATGAATACAAGATGTGAAGGCAGACGAATATAGATACGAAGGCTAATACGAATTCGAAATCAAGGACGAATGCGAAGACGAGCACGAAGTCTTATATGAAGGCGGATATGAGGACGAATTACTACAGTATGAAACGATTTAAAAATTATTTGAAAGAACTTTCACTCTCGTAGTGTGGCTTGGCGCCCATTTTTTTTTTTTTGATATTTTATGCAAGGCACTGTTGCATTGTTACCTTGGAAAAACATTTTCCCTTCTGCCTTCGAACACTAGGGCTGTTCTAGGCGGTCCATTTGACGATTTTATTTATTTTCATTATTTTCATTTTCTATAGCAAACTTTTATTATTTTTCATAAAAAATACTAGTAAAAAATATAAGTTTATTCAACAGCAAAAAAATGCAAATAATTTGCATCGAAATTAAAAATTTTTCAGTTCGATTTCTTTGAAAACTTTAGAGTAAGCACTTTTCTAGCCCATTAAATTTTAGTAAAATAAAGTACAAGTTTCAAGTCGCTGAAAATTCCCATTATTTTTGAGATTTTTTTAGGCGATGTTCTAGCTAAGAAATCGAATTGAAAAGTTGAAAATTTCGATGAATTTTCGCTTTTGAATGGAGAAGGCTTGATTCATTACCTTTCCAATAGTACCCCATTATTGTAAATAGAGCAAGAAATATTGAACTTATTATGGAATTTTGTTGACATAACTTGTCTTTTTTATCGATTTAAAATCAACGCGATTTCTTAGCCGCTTAAAACTTGCAGTTGTTTTATTAGAATTAAAAATCCGATCAGATGCGTACTCAAAATTTTTCTAAAAATTCAGATTAAAAAGGTCAAAATCTAGACGAAAATTCGTTGAATTTTTCTAAGTTCTGTACAAAGTTTGAAAGTTTGACTTTTATGGTTTTGATTAAAGCATAAACCATATTTTTATAAAAAAATAACAAAAAAGTTTTAACTTGAAAAACATTGCTAATATTAAACAAAAAACACCATGCACTCACCTTTGATTGCCTGTGTAGATTGGTACATACATACGTCCATATAATTCATCACAATATTACCTCTAATGGTCGCTAGGACTATTTGTGAAATAAAGTTTGTCCAACGATTACTGAGTAATGACAACCTCTTAAATTTGGCACGCAACTGGCTGGCCATCCCTTTCTGAAAATTATATAGATTTTGTAAGGACCATTTTTTCTCAGCATAGCACAGTGATGCTGGATCGGCTACAATTTGGAGAGACTTGATCATTATTCAGCTGGTAGAAAAGTATTTGTAACCAGCGGCTTCATGAGTTTGATTTATGAGATGCTCAGCAGCTTCTTACTAGTTAGGTACTTGTTGCATAGGTACTTCCCCTTAGAAAAGAGACGTCCTAATACTCCATGCCATTTTTGAACGTGTTTTACTTTTGTGTTTCACTTGAGCAACTTGAGCTTCGTTTTAGGAAGCGTGAAACTTCGTGTTATACAAATAGCATTCCATGATTTTAGAAATGAATTTCTGCAGTGTTGCTGGATCGAATATAAATATCTACTAATATTTTAAACTGCTATTGACCTGGACCTTTCCCCTTAATGACACGACAAATACTATATCTTCTTCTATTTTTTATAAACTTAATTTTTAGTGAAGTATCCACGGAAAGATCACAAAAAATACGTCGAACTAACAAGAACTAAAAGAAGAAAAAAACCAAACCACCACTGTTTACACATTCGTGTTTTATTTAACCATTGCTTTGTGTAGTTGAAGGACGCGTGATCGCGTGCTTCTTTCTGTTAGTCATATACGCGGTGTACATGGCGTATAATTGATATCGTAGATAGTAGTACTTGAAGATATCGCAGTGCAAGCGAATGAGTGACAAATTGAGTGAAGTGAGCTGAATAAATGCTAAATAATTGTGAGTGTGTGGGAAGGCATGTTTAGCGTTTTTTTTTTTTTTTATTTCGATTTTCTATATGCGTGTTCTAATAAATGGGGCGACTGAAAAATCTTGAGTGCTAAGCCAAATTACGTTGTTCGAGGGCACTTTTGCTCGTCAGAAAGCATTGCTCGTGAACTCAGTGCCGCTAAGAGAAGTAAACTTCGTGTTAGTTGGATGCACACTGGATAGTATTTGAGATAACATAACAGCTGTGGTACTAAATTAGACAAGTGCACTCGAGCTGTTTGTTATCACACGCTCGACTTTAATTGATTCCCAATGTTGTGACGAGTTGTTTACTAATCTGGAATACTAATGCAATTATTTGAAAAAGAGAGTAAAAGAGTGTGTAACATTATTAAATAGTATGGTTTATTAGAATTCCTTTAAGTGTTTGTGTGTGCGAAAACGATTTCCTAACATTGACGATGATCATTCGTTAGTCTAGAATTTACTCGCTTTTGTTTTCCTGATTTTGATGAGTACTAAATAGAGCCGTAAAGTTTCAAATTCTCTCGTGTATACCAACTAATACAAGTGAGTGTACATACATATGTATGTGTGTTTGAATTCAGCAAACAATCTGGCTGGTCAGTTGAGATTTAAAAGCCTAAGGCGGAGCAATGCGACCTCAGTATTTGATTACACTTTCTAATCGAACGTTCAGTGGAGAATTTTTTAGCGCTTGTATTGTGTGAAAACGTGTTATTTTTTCCGTATGCAGAGGATAACAAAGAATTAAAAGAAAACGTAAACAGAAACACTAAAAACATACCTATCTATTCATGCTTACAGTGGTGGACAAAATAATAGAAACAAAATATGTTGACAAGTTTTCGATATTTTTCTTTTGTTTATTTAATACTTAATAAAATGAATTTCGTTCATGCGTTTTATGAAATAAAATGCGCAACAAGCTCGGCGAAAAATATTCTCAAAAATCCACGGTATATTTTAGCCACTTGAAACTTGCACATTATTATGCTAAAATTGAATGTGCTACACAACTGCATACCTAAAAAGACACATAAAAAAGTTACAGAATTTGATAAAAAAAATTTTAAATTTAATTTTTTTTTAATTTTTTACAAAGTTTGAAATGTTGGTTTATATGTTGCTTTTTTATGTAATGACTTAGACTTTTATAAGAAATAATTAAAAATTAAATAAAAAAAAAAAAAATATCCAAAACTTGCTAAAATTTTTTGTTTCTATTATTTTTTCCACCGCTGTCCATTAAAAACATACATATACCTATCCAGCTACTTTTGTATGTGTAGCTCATTTCTACTAAACAAAGCCGAAGTCAACGCTTTGCCCTGCATTATACGTACATACTTACTTTTGAACTACTGCCGACGTCGTTTGTTATAAAAAAAGTAATAAATAATTTTTTATTATTTTCCTACATTTGTGCTTCGTTGCTGCATTTCTACACAGTGCGTCTCATAAGAATCTTGCCGTTAGTTTTACTCATTTCAAGGACGCCAACACGCGCCACATTTGCCACAAGCATCGTTAAGCGTTCATACGTAGCAAGTAGCAACAATTTTCCAGCAGGCAACTGTAACAGTAATTTCACCGGCAAAAAAATGCCCGAGAAGCGTATAGCACCAGAGATTTCCACATTGGAAGAATTTGAACGCAAACTGCCTGGGTGAGTATGAAATATAGAGAAATACTTACGCACACAAAAATCAAAATACTGGCAAAACTAGGAGCCAAAGATAGTGAAACTGAGTTTTAAGGTTTTCGCTCTGGCGTCAATATTTTTTTTAAAGGGCTTTGAAGATATGATTAATTAAAAAAATTTATTAAAAATTGGATAGAAGGACGAAAAGGTATTGGCTATCCTTGAAAATTTCCAATATTTATTATTATTATTATTGGCCTTGAGCATTGCTAACTCCCTGTAAGAATTATACCGCATATGTATGTATTAGAGAGCTGCACGATTACATAAAAAGGTAACATGTTAATAATCGGCGATGCCGATGCGGCGAGTACATGCTACATAACTGTAAATTTGGCATCGCAGAATCGCCGCATCGTCGGCATCGTCAAGATAGTAACATGTTACTAACATGTTAGTAACATTCCGTTTTTTATGAAATTGTTGAGAGAGTGAGCAGAAAGAGCGCAAACATTCCATGTTTTTTATTCGTAATCTTGGCACACGCTTGCCACATTTTATGTACGAACATTACAAAAAATACCCAAAGTAAAAAGTAGCGTGTTTTTAATATACTTTGTTTTAGATTATTTGCATGCGTTTGCTACAAACCAAAAACAAAATGTATGACCCTGAATGAGAACTACAGTTTGAGTTAATAAATGTTGGTAATATACTATATGTACATACATACATGAGTTAAAATTGCTTGCTTCAGGATTTTTATAAAGAGGACACAAATGACTCACTTTATTTAATTCGATTCTACCTATATAAATATATAAGAAATTTTAATGCTGGTTTATACCCAAAAATAATGGTTAATATTTATGAGGCAATCTCTTTTTCAGAACTATATATGTATGTACCTATTTATGTGAAAGCACATTCCTATGAAAATAATAAAACCTAAACATCGAAATCTTATAGTTATTAGTTACTAAAAAGTTCTAAGATCCATTTCTTCACTATACGTATAAGCAAAAGAGGCCAAAAAGCCTATGCACGCAAAATATCCACTGTTACTACATTTCTAAAATGCGGCAACCATGAGCGTGACGAACTAAACCACGACACCAACCAGTGTTGCCAGAGAAATATTTCGAAAAGTTTTCGGTCGAAAAAAAGAGCTAAGTAATATTAATAGCTGATATGAAGAGCTAAATTTTTTTTTGAAGTTGAGCATTGATTGACGTTAGGTTGGTTTTACATTTTCCGCAGTTTTAATAAAATCAACGAATTTTATAAGTTTAAGCTCTGAAAAAAAAACTTTTAAAACCAAAATAAGGTGCATATATTTCGAATTCGTTGCTATGGCACTTATCACACTTATATGTACGCACAAACTGTAAAAATCTACAATTTAAGATATATGTATGAATAATTTTTTAGCAAACGTTTTTCTGGAAAAGTATTTCCAGCTCTCCTTAAAGGTAAAATTAGTAGGGAAAAATAAAATACTTGATACTTAAATAAATGATTTGTGAAACATTTGATCCATTTTTTGTTTTTTCTATGATACATATTTTCATGACGTCGCGGCAACACTGGCCGGCAAAAGTTAAACTGTGTCTGTGTTGGTGAGCACAAGAGAACTGCTCCGCATGAGCAACCCAGTACGAAATTACTATAAGTGAAAAAATTTTTAACGGATCGGGCTTCAATAAAAACATATATTTAACACATATCGTCACATGAATGCAAAAAGACGTAACAAACATAGTCGCTGAAATGCAAAAAGTCGTAACTCATAAAAAATTCAAAATACACTTTTTGATTTATATGATGGATTTCATCGAATTACAACTCCCCACATCGTTTTATGAAAATAAAATATTAATCACGACTTTTTCCATTTCAGTGACGATTTTTGCCATGTCCTTTTGCATTTCATGTAGCGATATGTATATGTAAATCGCTGATTTACTAGAAAAGCGTCATAATCCAAAAAAAGCAAAAAATCGAGTTAAGTATGCACGTTACCTATTTCTTATGATGTGTAAAAATTTCATAGCTGTAACGATTACCAGTAGTCATTAGAACAAAATATGTAGTAATTTTTCGCCTGTTAGTATATGTAAAATCAAAACTTTAATGCCGTTTTTCTCGAGTTTTTAGTTTTCTGAGTTATGACAATATTGAAGTAATGAAACTCAGATAAAAAATTCATTTGGATTCACCAACACCAATATTAAAATCCATGCCCATCAAAATTTTCCATATCATTGTGAAATTAATAAAAATGTCTTTTAATAGCATATTCCCTAGTCTTTTAAAGGTCCTACTACACAAAGGGCATTATATGCCCCCAAAAGAATTTTCAATATATGTACATACATATTTCTCGCAAGGCATATTTGTATTCAAGAAACAAAGCAGAATACCCATCCGCGTTGTTTATTTGTTGCTGTCTCGCTAACGACTAAACGATAGAGCGTAAGAATTCGTGTGAAGTGATCGTCCACAATTGCGGTATGAAGCGCCGACCACTGTTTTTAGCTTGCAGCTTGCTATTGACCAGTGTGATCAGATAACTTAATAGGCTACATTTGCAACCAAATTCAGCAATTCTACATAGCACTTTTTCGTGCCTAATTTTAACCTTGCCAACTACGGAAAGTTGGCAGCCCCGACAACGAGTATACGTAACGGTACATTTGGTATCGTGGCATTATTGAGTTTTGCTTTGTAATTTTTAATGTACAAAAACGTTTGCCACTTAGAAAACAATGTTTTGCATTGGTGGCGGCGACATGAGAATGAAATTCCTTTGGTGGCCAAACTGGCGCGAAAAGTATTATGCATTCCAGCATCTAGCGCTGCGAGTGAAAGGTGTTTCAGTGTGGCAAATCGAGTTTTGGAAGAACGAAGAACAAATCTTAGAGGAGAAAATTTGGATGCCATTTTATTTTTACATTCGAAAGACAAGAAATAAAATATTATTTTGTCAATATTTTTTATTTCTAACTCGTACTTTATGTTATAGTTTTTGTTAAAGTGAAATATGTTTAATTTCTATGAATTTATGAATTAATTTATGCTGAACTAAATAAAAGATACACTATGCAAGTATAGTTAATATGGTTTTGGCATTATCTGGTCACACTGATATTGACGATGCTAATTTATTAACAGAATTACGTTGTTACTAATCGACGATGCTGTTAGTAATCGTACGATGCGACGATGCGGCGATGCCGAGTAACTTCGCTACTTTGGCATCGTGGTAATCGTCAAAAGTGTTAGTTAATAACGTACTCGTACGATACTAACATAATCGTGCAGGTCACTGGTATGTATATAAATGCATTATTATATATTAAAATTGTACATATATATGTATGTTTTATTGTGAATTTTCCATTACATCACTCAATGCACCGGTGCAGTCTTTAATTTTCTATAAATTTTCCTAATGCATTTAATTTAGTTTTAATTTATTTTATTTGCTTTCGTTTTTTTAGCTTTTATCAGTCGCATTCGCATCGTAGCTGATAATTGTTGCACTGTCTAGGCATCACGCCTTGCTCTTATCACTCCACTTGAGTGTGACTTTCACGTTTCGCTATACATACATATACATATGTACATTAATTTTGAAGGTTGTTACGAATTACTTCCTAAATTGACAAAATTTCAAATCACCGGAAAGTGTCGGTGCTGCAGGACAGAGAAACCACGCTTTCTTTAAATGATATTTTCATATAGATTAGCTCATATATTGCCTAGGTTTTGATTTTATTAGGGAAACACTAGTCTCCATATACGTTTTTACTAGGATGATCGTTTATAAGCTATTCTAAAAATAGTGTTTTTGAACTTCTTGAATAACACTGTTAAATCGCCACTATAGGGCCTCAACTCAACAAAGGCCAAACGTTAGTATTCGTACGTGGTAGACGAACTCAAATTGGATCTTGAATAAAATTTTTAGTAATCCAGTCGACTCTAGTGCCCCTTGCGGGTAGTTTTTGTATAAACCTTTTCCATTCAAATACAAGGTCAACAAAAAAAGGCAAATGCGCACACGTTTTCTCAAGTGAAGGATGCTATCTACTTGTATATATGTACATTAGGGTGGTCCAAAGTTTTCCATATATTTCGTATGGGGAAACTATATTTTTTCGGAGAATCGCTTATAAAATCGTTAAAAATAAATATTTTTTGATAGAATAAAAATATGTTTAATAAATCTCTAAACAATAAAATGATGATGCGTGTTTAATTTTAGAATTCTACTAACTACCTTTTCAGAACAGATAATCTCATCCCATATTTAAAAAAAAATTAGTTATTAACCGACTTCAAGTAGGTTATCAATTCGTCGCAATATTTTTTTATGTATCCTACCGCATAATTTTGGACCGCGTTAACCGACTTCTATAATTAAATATAATTTTTTAAACGGAAGGTTGGTACCTCAGAGGTGGTCCCACACTAATTTGGTTTAGATCCGATCATTGGAGAAAATTTAATTAATTACATTTTTATATTAACTTGAAACTTGAAGTCGGTTTTTTTTTGCTTAAAAATTCACACGCATTTTGAAAAATAGTTATTAATAGACTGCGGATTTTTATGCAAAATACGAAGCCTAGAAATATGTTACACATAACTATAAGCAAAGTGTATAAACTTCTATACATTTTGTTTAAACAAATTTATAGACTTTGCTTATAGTTATGTGGTACATATTTCTAGGCTCCGTATTTTGCATAAAAATCCGCGGTCTAGTTATTAACATTTTGGAGTTAAATTTGCCTCATAATTCTATTGTTGGACGACTTCTGAAAACAAATATTTTTATTCGATCAAACCATATTTATTTTTAAAGATTTTATAGCGATTCTACGAAAAAAATTATTTTCGCCATATAAAATATATGGAAAACTTTACAGTCCAGCCAGCACTTTTAAATATTAACCGATTTCGAAAAAATACATGTGCCCTTATTTTCCGTTTTCTAATATTCTTCGTGTTAGCGG